TATATATATAGCTTCAATTTATTTACATTTTAGTCCTGGTAATTTTAGTATTTCAAATTGTTTATGAAACAAATCTGAAATAGTGCATATTCTTTAAGCAATAAAGTTGGAGGATGTTAAAACGCTAGCTAGTTGCTTTCATAGGGCCAGTTATAAACAACATACAGAACTACCAAACTTTGCTATAAGTTTGATTGCATCATATAATAACTGCTGTAAATAGTGTTCCTCGTCTGTTTGATTACGTCTTTAATTGATTTTTCCGTACATTTCTGCCATATGTACATTAACTGACAGTCACCACTGATAAGCTACTACTAAATATTGTAGAAACGTAATTTTCTGTAAAGTTGCTTTGCAACGATTTGTATCGTAAAAAGCGCTATACAAATAAACTTGAATGGAATTGAACTGAATTACAAAATACAAGAGACTCCAGCGACTTTGGATCTTCCACATTACCCACGTGTTTCTCTTCTCTGCCCACAGATGTTATCTCGGGCACAGGCGATTGATCTTAACCGGGTAATTAGCATTTTAGGCAGAAAGGACAAGACACGGGCCTGCTGCCAGACGCTTGAGTCCAACTGATAGAAAGAAACTTTGCCACGGTAGGCTTGGTGGTCCAAGTTTTACCCTGTGGGGTCAAAAAGGATCATCAAAACCTGCTCAACCCTACTAAACCTCACCAAAGGGGGACACTGAGGCACCATGGCAACCAGGCTGGCAAAAAAAATCAAGTCTTTGCGGTCCTGTTATCAGATCAAAACGGCTGTGTGGACAGATGAAGGACTCGTGCTCTGCTGTGAATGCGGACACGGGCCTGCTGCCAGACGCTTGAGTCCAACTGATAGAAAGAAACTTTGCCACGGTAGGCTTGGTGGTCCAAGTTTTACCCTGTGGGGTCAAAAAGGATCATCAAAACCTGCTCAACCCTACTAAACCTCACCAAAGGGGGACACTGAGGCACCATGGCAACCAGGCTGGCAAAAAAAAATCAAGTCTTTGCGGTCCTGTTATCAGATCAAAACGGCTGTGTGGACAGATGAAGGACTCGTGCTCTGCTGTGAATGCTGAGAAAATGTGCATGTTATGCCATCGAACTTGACTGAGACGGCAAACATTCACCACAACAAATGTGCAAATATTTACAAATAGGCATACGCCACTCATGCGTATAGATGCAGGGAGATTCTATTTTAAAATGTAATTTAAAATGACAAAGCTGAATTTTCAGCATCATTACTCCAGTCTTCAGTGTCACATGATTCTTTTGAAATCATTCTAATGTTAATTTGCTGCTCAAGAAACATTTCTTATTATTATCAATATTGAAATAAAGTTGTGCTGCTTAAATTTTTTGGCAGAATCCGTAATTCTTAAAGTTGAAAAGAACAGCATTTATTTGAAACTGAAATCTTTTGTAACATTATAAATGTTTTTGCTGTCACTTTTAATCAATTTAATGCATCCTTGCGGAATAAAATTGTAATTTCTTTAATAAATAAATAAATACAAAAATGTACTATAATGGTGTATTATACGTCTATTGGACATACACAAATTACACACAAATCTGTCAAGTTTACCACTCACTTGAAAAAAGTAATTTTGAAGTCCTCAGTAACTTTTGTTCTTTATCATTACTCTTTTTGGTAATGAGATTCCATTGATTTGGGCTCAGAGTCAAACTCCATTCCAGAGGGAATTAGTCTGGATTGAAGTTTTGTGGTAGGACTCCAACAGGACTCGAGTTTAGCACATTTCTCAACAAACACAAACTGTGCTCAGCGTTTGCCACAAGAAACTCAAGCTGTGAGCAATGTCCCTGAAAACTCAGCTGTGCTTCGTCACTTCAGCTGAGTGTGTGTGTGTAGCTAAAACTTCACCAGACATGCTTCTTTTTATACACCACAGCTATAAAAGCAAGTAAAACAGCCTGGCACCTCATTAAAAACAAGACATGCACTTCATTAGAGCACAGTTTCTCAAATGCAAAAATAAAAATATAGCTTCTTCCTCCAGCTCGTTTCATTTAACTCCCAAATTTGAATTACATTGTGGTTGCGAACAGAACGCAGAAAATGCAATTTGAAA